TTTGGTGTGATATCGAAAAGTTTGTTGGTATTGTCCAATCGTGAGATTTTTAAGATTCTGGATGTGTTTTATTTTTATTTTAGAATGTATTCATTGCAAAAATGTGTCCGCTAGCCTACAGATAAACGACTAGTTAACTTGATTCGGCGTTGGCAACACGGGATTGGATTTCAAACCACGCGCGATTTCGGAAGAGCGGCAGGCAGTTTCCAATGAGCTCAGTTTATATGATTTCACTGCAGTGGAAGGTGAGGTGGTGTAACGCGGTGGTAGGGTTGATTTTTCGATACGTTTTCATATATTAACATGAGAATATATTAACTATACAGAATTCCACACTTGGATCCCTGATTCTTTGTAAAACCGTACCTTACACTGTAAGGTACGGTTTTACAAAGAATCAGGGATCCAAGTTTCTTACAACTTACAAGCATTTAAAAAACATAAATTTCAAAATGGTATGGTAGCCTAGTTTGAATTGGCTCAGGAAATATCTTAGACATAATCGACCATTGCGGCAGCGGCATTGCATACCTCGGTAGAAATGTCCTCCTAGATGCAGCCATGCAGGTTTACAACAGAATGATTAATTGAATTCGAGGCGTAGTGGGCGTGAAAGAGAAGTGTCGGACTGCCAGCAGTCAGCCTGTCAGGCTTTAATTGACATTGATTGCAGTCACAAAACACTTGTCTTCAACCCTTCAACACGTAACCAGACAGAACGGACGGAGTAACTTCCTGGCCCAAAGGAGCGGATGCAGAATGGGTCTAAAATATTTCAGAGTACAAATTTCAACAGATTCCCAATTGAAGAAAAAACATGAACAATATGAAATAGATTATTTTTTAACGATAATTTCGATAAATGTGATTCAAAGGTAACTGTTGCTGAACAATGTATATATCAATAATATACAGATAACATCTACCACTCGAAAGTTTTCTTATTTCTGTGAGCTGACCCGGCAATATTTCATGAACAGAATGAAAGAGAAAGAACTTGACTTTGAAAATAATTCTGAAACTGATTATACTTCTGATTCAAGGTCATTTTCCTGATGGGATTAAGTGCACTTAATCAGTCTAATTATCTAATCCGTTCATTCTCGTAAGGGTTCTGCTATAGGTTGAAATTTGTCGTTCTACTTATTTTGACGATGAATATAAAATTTGATACGACATGGGAACCTACTGAAGAATAAAGAGTTTATTTGTTTAAGATATCGAACTATTTCCAAATTTTAGCCTGAGTTTTTAGAGTGTTAGCTCAACGAATGCACTTCAGTGCCGATTTAATAAGTTTCAATGTATTCATCACAATGTAGAATGGGTGATCTTTGATTGTCCCAAATTGAAATTTGCTGCTCATGTGTCAGCAGTTTGTGCGCCAGAAGCGCCTGAATGTTTTCCGGGCCCTGAGGCGGCATATCGATAATTAATACACATATTCCAAAATTCATGCAGATCCGTTAAGTATTGAAGGAATTATGAGCGGCCCAGTTGCGCGAGTCCGCAGGCGGGTCCGTAAAATTGTCGATTGAGTGGTGCTTTGATGATTGTATCGCCGCACCGCCGGCAGTCTTTTCAGGACGGTATCAAACTTCCCGGGATGGAGGAGAATCACATAAACCTGTTTAAATAAGTTAATAATGATATAATTTTTCAAATAATTAGTTTTTAATAAACGACTCCATGCCAGTGAAACTTTTTAGGGGAGCGTTTGGAAGAAAAAACGAAGGAAAAAACGAAGCTTATTATTCAAATTTAACTGGACAAAAATAAGTCTAAAGACGTGTGATGCCTCATAATACGAGTACTTGGCGATGGGAAAGCTGGGGCTGCAGTATGAAGCAATTTTTTTAGCATTTTTTTCTTCTTATTTTTTCGATAAATTTCGCTTATTTGGCTCCCCTGAACAATTAAAATTTCCAAAATACGCCACCTTATAAATCTTAAATACGCCATCACCTCCTATGATTTTTAAGCTACAACATTGAGAGATATACCTACTATTCGATTCATGATTCCTTTAAAAATATCTAGTGATCATCCGGTCAATTTTTTTATTTGTTATAGTTTGGATTGTATATTGAAAAAGCATGGGGGGAGGGCGAGGCAAAAATGGAAAAAATGAAAAAATCCCCCGACCAGAAAAAATAAATAAAATAAAAAAATAATAATAATTTGGAAAAAGTAGTCGGTCAATCGCTAGATATAGTCTATATGAATCAAATGATATATCTGTCAATGTTGCAGCACGTTAATTGAAGGAGGATATAAAAATTTTCAGTGACTCCCCTTATTTTGCCGTTTTCTCTCATTTTTTCGAAAATTTTACACGAACCAAAAGTCTCAGATTTCTGTTACTTATGTGTACCAAGTTACAAAGTGATCCATCTGTAAATAAAAAAGTTTTTCTTTATCAAGACGCTCCCCTAAAATAAAATTAGTTTGCACATTTTTTTAAACAATATTTTAAATTTTGTGAGCATTTATTCGGTCATGTCACATATAACACACTGAATATTGTGACTACTTTTAATGGCAGGAAGCGTCCATTTATTCGATGAGTTGGAAATTTTACATTAAATAGACGAATGGATGTTCGGCCTCTGTAAGCCCAAAACAATTTCATTGAAGGTAAGCTATTACTTTAATTGATCCACTCTATTGACCAGTTTCTTGAAACGCTAGTCAGCGCCGTCTAAGCTCATGAGAAAGTTATTTCATCTTTTAATTTTATTCATTGCTATCATGAAGCAATCCACTTGTTTTTTTGGATTAAAATGAATAAGAGATAAACATGAAGCCATTGACATTTCAAATTCTGTTTACTGACATACATGATAAATAAATTTATATATTACTGAATGAACTAACCAATATTACAAAAACTCCAGTTCGGAGTGAAAGGTCCCGAATATTCAAAAACGTTCTACCTATAATTAACATTCGACCTATTAATGCATTTACTTTTGCTTGAGTAATAGTGGAAATTTATTACTCAACAATGTTTGGAGATCAAGTGAATTTGCTCGCGGACTTTTTGTCATTTCGGCGAATATTTCGGACTGTATTAAGGACATGAATGTGGCTGATTCATGGTCGTTTCTCATAGACACGGTTATGTCTGCAGTTGAGGCCTATGTACCCAAGATTACGCTTGGAGGAGTCAAAAAATCCCAGTGGATGACCAGTGCAGTTAAGACTCAGCTAAAGACCAAGGAAGAAGCCTACAAGCGTTATTTACGAACTCGCAGCGAGTCTGATTATAACCTGTATGCCAGAGCTCGAAATCAAGCTAAAAAAGTTTGTCGCACTGCAGTGAAAAACTTCGAAAAAAATATTGCTAAAAATGCCAAAAAGAATCCGAAAGCCTTCTTTTTGTACGCTAGTTCGAAGTGTAAGTCCTGTCTCTTATACACATCTAGATGTGTATAAGAGACAGGGCCTACACTCCAGCGCCGACATCACTATGTTATGTTATGTTATGTTATCAATCTTCATACTTTAAGCATTCTCTGACTCGTCGCTCCCACGGATCCGGAAGCGTTGTCTTGGTTTGACCTGCTCACGGGTATCAGGTACAAGGGCGGAGAGAATCCTTATAATATTCATTACAGATACAATACGAATGATCCAATACAATACAAATAGTATTGGTGCATTCGGATCAAGCAAAAATACAATACGAATGAACCAAAACAATACAAATAGTATTGGTGCATTCGTATCAAGCATGAAAAAATACAGTACGAATGATCCAATACGATACAAATAGTATTGGTGCATTCGTATCAAGCACGGAAAAATACAATACGAATGAACCAAAACAATACAGGTAGTATTGGTGCATTCGTATCAAGTATGAAAAGATACAATACGAATGAACCAAAACAATACATATAGTATTGGTTCATGCGTATCTAGCATGAAAATGCATTCATGATTTGAGTTCTACAATAAAACGACGGTGTTAAAATTTTCTGTAAATTTTATTTTAGATTCGGTAAATGGATTACGATTCTTGGAGAAACAATATAACCGCGTTATAACATACATCATGAAGTCATTAACAGCTACTTGTTAGAAGTGCTCTATTTCTACGAAGAACATTAACATTTTAGGTATTCGTTCGGTGCAGCTGGCTGCCCGAATTCTGAATAAAACTGAACGACTACGAATTTATCGAGAAATTGCTTATCTATTGAAATAAATTAATTATAAGGCATTTTCTAATTCTTCACTAATAAAATACACTCACAGAAATAATTGGGACATTGTCCAATAGCAATATAGCAATGCGCTTTCAGCACTCGTGTTGGTCAGCCTGTTCTAGTTTGGCCCAGCAATTCAAAGGGGTGTATCTTTGCTCTTTGCTCTCTCTTCTTCCCCACCCCTCTAACCTTTGCTATAATTTCTATATACCTGACATCGTTTACCTCTTTTTCTACCAACAAAAACGAATAAGTGACACGTGACAGCTAGCCGATATAAAGGCCGGGTTCTTGAAAGTCCTTTTAGGGTCACAACGCCAAAAATCCAACGCCAAAAATCGTGCAGTGGTCAAGTACGTATGACTCAATTTGGATAATTTGACCCAGTAATTTATTTCGTGTAGGTTTTATTACAAGTTTCCTTGCTTCATTATTTCGTGAATCCAGCTGGTGAAGCGAGCAACGTTCGTGTAGATACCGAGTTTACCACAGCCGACACCGAACGACGTTACACCGATCACTGCCCATTGCACTCTGCCTTGGTTCTCCCTGTCTTCACACAGCAAGGGGCCTCCGGAGTCACCTGAAAAAGCATAAAATTTAAAATATCAATAAATATTATAATATAATGATGCATGTTAATATTGACAGTTATTAAATAGTAATAAATTTACCATCAGTTTGATCTTGTCGCCTTAATTACTTTCGATTTTTGTGTTGTGTTGCACCTTTTCCGCAAATTTCTAGCCGGTATAATTTTAGGTTAGATTACCTAAAACATCTAAACTTGTAAAGCTATAAAAATGTAACTCAGTACTAACTGCAGTGAGTGACAGAGAGCGCATTTACTCGTCGGCGAAAACGTGAAGTCACGGACAGACAGATAGACGGACATGACGCGCACAATAGCGCATTTTTTTCCATAAACGATAAAATGCGCTAAAAAGTGCAAATTTACATAATTTAGCTTAGATTTATGTACATAAACTGACATGCAACAATATTAAAGATATGTATTAAGATCATTTGATTGCTTAAATCGCAAGTTTATCAAGAATTTAAAAACATTGAAAACACCCCGAAAAATTCCCCATTTTTTATGAAGGAAAACGTTACAGAGACCAGCTCCATCGTCAGTTCAAAACCTAAAACACAAGTAAAAACAATTAGCAAACTAAATTCACATTTGACGATTTATAAATTTAAAAGCAAAGAATAGTCCACAAAAATTCATATCTTTATAGAAAACGTTTCGGAGTTTCAATTTCGACCAATTTTTGCCGCGTATAATACTCCTAGTTTTAAACTTGCTAAATTTTTGGTACCGGTTTTAAACTGTCTTACGACTAATCAGTATACTGTTGATAATTCTTACATGTTTGTGAATCGCTTGAAACATTTTACATGTAAAAAACGTGAAAATTTTCATCATTTATCGTAGATTTATGTACATAAACTGACAATCCAACAATTTTTTAAATATATGCGACAAGTCAATCAAAGTGGAATATAAAATTACTAAAATTAGTGGAACGTTTGCATTGTTTGCAAACGTTCAGAACGCTGTTTCCATATTGTGATTCATTGAGCGGAATACATCTTCCGAAACTTTCCGTAAGCAGAGGACGCTGCTGCTTAGTCATTGCCTTAGTCAATATGGCATAGTAAAAATGCCAAGATTTTAATATACCTTTACTTATGCACCGTGCGTAGAAGCATAGTCATACTCGACAATGTATAGTTAAAATACTGTTATGCTACTTTACCTTTACAAGTGTCGCGATTGGAGTCGAGATCGCCGGCGCAGATCATGTTTTCCGTCACGTTAAGGGACGGGTGAAGTTTTTTACATTTGCCGAGCGACACAATGGGGACCTGTGGTGTAAAATGGTGTAAAAAAACTCTATTTTTGGACTCGTTAGCCATCTCAGAAATTATATCTGATTGTTAATTATTTCAAGAGAATAATGATCAACTTCCATAATTCAGTATCAAGGTAACTAAAATAAAAATTACACAAATCACATACATATACCTTAGCATGCCTGAGTACATCACTAGTGGGAGCTATGAGCCCTGTTTGTCCCCATCCTAGCACCACACAGCGCAACTTGCGGCCAATGATCCCTGAAAAGCGAAGACTCGTTCCAGCCATTGAATTTCTTGGCCTCAAGCTGTCCATGGACATTCGTTGCGAGTTTCGTCCATTCGTCTCCTCGGATCGTCTTCGGGCATCGGGAAGCGAATGCTTTAGGCTAGCTTTGTTATGCACGCCGTCCGCTGAGATGTGATTGGGACGTCGAGCTCCGGTGTCCTGGATTGAATTTGTACTGCGGATTACTGGGCGCAATGCTCGCCTCAGAGTGACAGGCTCAGATGAATTGGCTACTTGCTTTGAGGGTGCCATCTTGAGGAGCGGTGACTTCAGTTTAGAACTGCCGACTATCTTCTGAGATTTATTGATTTTTTGTGTAGTTTTCAAGGATTTTATAGCTATAAACCTTTGTTTCGGTAGCTGGAAGAAATTGGGATTTGGTAGGCATGCTCTGTGATGAAGTATTTTATTGTCAGTTTGCGTAATAATGGGAAAAGTGTTCTGCTTCAGAACACGTACAGCATAACGGTGTGTGAGTGGAGGAGAGGAAAAGTGCTGGGTCTTTCTTAGCAGTGACGAATTATTTAAATTCTTGGCGATTAATCGATTTCGTGGGTCTATGAGGTTCTGAATGTTGTTCTCAGTTATTATTGGAGGACATTTCAAAGAATCCATATGCAAGTCCGAGGATGAGGGATATCTATCACTGTTGGACCCCAGTATCGCTGATAAGAAAGAATTTTCACTGCTGGGTTTCTGATAATTATTCGTGCCAGGTTCGCTCGTATTTAAAAAACTCCCAACAACACTCGAAAAAATGGATGAAAGTACATCAGGGATTTCAAATGTTCGGAAAACATTCTCAATTAGAGATAAGTCAATTTCGTTATTTTTTCGAATACCGGACAAATTTAGTTTATTCGCGGTGAACGTATTTAGTTTAGTTGAACACTGTGGAATCAATGGCATTGGCTTCCCAGCGGCTATTTCGGCCAAAAAGTTGATGAAAAAAGCCGGTAAACACATTGCCTGATTTTGATTTGACCCCAAATACTCAACGACGTTTTCAAACAACATAGAAAGGTATTTTAGGTACAATAATTTGTCTTCTTCTCCCATCGAATTGTCTTCAGGTATACACTTCAGTAGACTCATCCAAAAGGATGAAGCGTACGCAAAGATCGAAACGATGTTTTTATTTGGGTCTTTTCTGTTCTCAGGGTCCATGAAAATTGGGATCCCTGCGATGTTTGATACTTTTTTCGGTGGCTTTCGATCATTCATGGCAACCATGACAGGATTTTGTGAGAGGCGCAGTAGAGCGATGTCGCTGTCGAAGGTTACAGGATCAAACTTGTCATGGATATATGCTCTGTCCACCTGAAAACCAGAAACAAATGTGAGTATTTCATGAAAATGTGACTGAACGCTGTTTAGAAATGTTAAATAAAACTATTCTAACGAGCGGCTCGAAACATTAAAGTGTTAAAAATTACATAACGATCTTTGGTAATTGTATAAAAAATTAATTTCAAATGAATTGTGATCAGCCACTGGAATTTGCACGATATAACCATCTTTCGGCCATTAGAGCTTCCAACGTCGCCTTACTTGAGAAAAGTTCTTTGTAGGAAAGTTCACTTATACCGCCACTTCAGCTTGGCGATTATATCGATAGCATGCATTAAATAAGGTAAGCCCCATATAATGAAAATTTACCCAATATATTTGAACGCATTTTAAACGCGAAAAAATTTATCAGCTAACAGCTAACTTGTCGATTTCTGAAATTTATTACAATACGTCTGCTGGCATCACCCTTAATTATTGCAAGTGTAATATCTAGAAAATTCCCCAATATATTTATAATTTGTACGTAATAAAAACGCGAAAAGATTCAACAGCTAACGACTAACTTCTCTATTTCTAAAATATTGTATTATACTCATGCCGCCTTTACCCTTGATGCAAGTGGACGTCTAGAAAATTTCCCAATATATTTGTAAGTTGTACGTATTAAAAATACGAAAAGATTGAGCATCTAGCGACTAACTTCTCTTTTTCTGAAATATTATATTACACTCATGCCGCCTTCACCCTTGATGCAAGTGGACGTCTAGAAAATTCGCCAGTTTACGATGTTGACACGCTAGCCCCACAGCCAGGAGGTCATCGTCCGTGTTTACTTTACCTTCATCTGATCAACGAGGGCGACCATCCACGGAAAGGCTCCTCGCATCGCACGTCTTCCGCCGATTATCTTTTCCTGAGGTCCATGCGTCGAACTGTGCGGCAACGATAACTTTTCGTGCCTCGAAGATACGATGTTTGTCGAGATTATTTTTTCTTGAAGCTTATTCTTTGAACTGTGCGGCAACGATAATTTTTTGTGCATCGAAGATACGATGTTTGTCAAAATTGTCTTTTCTTGAGGCTCATGCGTCGAACTGTGCAGCAACGATAACTTTTCGTGCATCGAAGATGCGATGTTTGTCGAGATTGTCTTTTCTTGAGGTTCATCCGTTGAACTGTGAGGCAACGATAACTTTTCGTGCATGGAAGATACGATGTTTGTCGAGATTGTCTTTTCCTGAGGCTCATCCGTTAAACTGTGCGGCAACGATAACTTTTCGTTCATCGAAGATACGATGTTTGTCGAGATTGTCTTTTCTTGAGGCTCATGCGTCGAACTGTGCGGCAACGATAACTTTTCGTGCATCGAAGTTACGATACTCCTCGCGGTTATCTTTTCTTGCGAGTCATGCATCGAACTGTGCGGCAACGGTAATTCTCCAGGAATTAACGATAAAGTTTTTGTAGAATTTTTCAGGGCTTGAGTATTTTCGACTTCAGTTTTCGAGCAAGGCAATGAATTTTCAGGAAAATGTTCTAAGTTTTCGTCAGCCTTTGCTGAAGTTGTTATATTTTGTGTCTTGGACGTAGGTAGCAACGTGAGAGGTATAATTTTTGAACTGAATTTTGTTTGATTGGTGGCATTCTTGACGTTATTATTTGTTTTATTTTGTGTGCCGGGAGAGTTTTTAAAATAAATTTTTAATTCGTCGAAGCCTCGGAACCTTTCTATTGCATTTTTAACAATTCCTGTTTTGATATCGGAGACACGTGCAGCGGTTAGATTTCTCTGCAGAGGCTCGGCTTCTAGTCCACTTTTCCTAATCCCTGGAAACAACCGAGGAACTTGTTGCGCAAAGTCACTGTTGTTGAGGACTTCTGTTTCTGGCGATAGTCTTTCTTTTTGGTCTCGAGTGAAGTAACGTCTGCCTAACTTCTGCGTCGGGACGGAATGAAGTGCTGGAAGTCCTGATGCCTTTACCACAGCTCCCCTGAGACTGGCTTTGTTGGGTGTTGGAGTGCAATTCCTTTTCAAAAAATTTTGTGCTTTTGCTTCATGTTCGAATGGATTTTGTTTCGTAATTTCGTCATTATGCTTCGATGATTCATTATCTCTTTTGTTCTCACGAAATTCATTGCTGTCCGTCGTGTTTACACCATCGATTTTCAGTCTACTTTGTTTACTTTTCTGGCGTACATAATTTTGTTTGCCTAACCGAAAGTCTCGATCCTTCGTCGTCGATATTCGCTTTAACTTTTGCTCCGGGAAAAAGTCCAAGTCCTGTTCGTACATGGGACTAAAGTCACTCGATGATGAGGTCCAAGCAATGCCGCATTTCTCGTCGTCACCGTCAACTAAACTAACAATGTCATCGTTCAGCTCGCGTGACTGCTGCCCATGTTCCTTCCTCTTGCCTAAATGGACACTTTTGGCCCTTGCATGTTTTAGGAAAGCTTGTTCCAAATTAGTCTCGAGTGTTGAAGCGCCTTCTCCATACGTGCGTGATGCGCCACCTGAGCGCCATTTGTAGTCGCTTCCTTTATTTTCAAAATTATTTAGCTTGCTTTGAATTGAATTTTGTTGAACTTTGGTTAAATTTTTAAAGATGCGTTTCGATTTATTCATTGTATCAGACGAATGAAGATGGTCTATGCGTAATATGATGGCATTTTCCTTGTCTTTAATCTCATGCTTATCGTGATTCATTTGCTCAACATAATAGTTTGATAAGTTCGATGGTTTGATATTAGAATATTTTGCACTAATTGAAAGGTCACCGCGTGTTAGAGTTATACTCCACATCAACAGTGCATACAGAAACAATAAACGCTTCAACACGCTTTGATATTTCATTTTTTCTAAATAATATCAAATTGTGATCGAATAAACCTTGAGACTTGAGATCATGTTCTGCGTACCCAAAAAAATTGTGAAAGATTGGTTTCGGTTGCCAAATGAGGCGTAAAACTTTTTCTTGTTTTGCGTGGTTAGCCACCGATATTTATTTTTGAACACTTTTTATTTGTGCAGTTAATTAAATGTGGTTTAATTTGTATTTAGTTTGGTTCATGTAAGTTAGATCAAAATGTTAACAAATGTAACCAGAATTGCATCTGCAGCACTAATTAGATCATCTGCACAGCATCACGAGCACAGTTCTACACTTTCACTGATCACGAGCACGGCTCTACACTTGCACTGATCACGAGCACGGCTCTACACTTTCACTGATCACGAGCTCGGCTCTACACTTTTACTGATCACGAGCACGGCTCTACACGTACACCTGTCTCTTATACACATCTAGATGTGTATAAGAGACAGNTCTGTATTGAATGTTTCAATAATACAATATTGTTCACTACACATGTTATTCTCTGTATTGAATGTTTCAATAATACAATATCATAGTCCAATACCCATGTTATTCTCTGTATTGATTGTTTCAATAATACAATATCATAGTTCAATACACATGCTATTATCTGTATTGAATGTTTCAATAATACAATATCATCGTTCACTACCCATGTTATTCTCTGTATTGAATGTTTCAATAATACAATATTGTTCACTACACATGTTATTCTCTGTATTGAATGTTTCAATAATACAATATCATAGTCCAATACCCATGTTATTCTCTGTATTGATTGTTTCAATAATACAATATCATAGTTCAATACACATGCTATTATCTGTATTGAATGTTTCAATAATACAATATCATCGTTCACTACCCATGTTATTCTCTGTATTGAATGTTTCAATAATACAATATTGTTCACTACCCATGTTATTCTCTGTATTGAATGTTTCAATAATACAATATCATCGTTCACTACCCATGTTATTCTCTGTATTGTATGTTTCAATATAACAGGCAAAAGACTTGAGAGGTACTAGCACTAAAAGAAAATACAAGTTTATGGTAACGCTGGCATAAAGCGTTCAAGCGGCGATTAAGATTATCTGTGGGAATCGGCAAATAATTAGAAATATGGGCGTTCGAAAATATCAAGCATATGTAAAACAAAATTAGAAAGGAAATATTATTCATATATGGAACAAAATTACATTGGTCTTTGAAACTATAAATTAGGTACAGGAATAAATCCTATATATGTTCGAAACTATCAATATAATTTTGAACAAAGTTAATTTGGTTCAATATTCAGAACGAAAGTCAATCGAAACTTGCGGAAAAACTCTAATTTATCTCGACCCACAACCTGAGGTCAATCGAAACTAGTTCGTTTTGCGCGGATTTGCGAAGTAATTTTTGACGACTGAAGAAGTTGGCCACATGAAGGAGTTTGGTACGGCTGCTTCTTCAATTTAAAACTTCCGCCTCAGTTCATATACTTAGTAAAAAAAAACTGAAAGTAAAAGAAACGTCTGGTGGGCCTAAGTGACAAACTTGCTAACTTTTTCGGTGTCTTTTCAGCTTTATTTTTCCATGTTTATTTTTGAGTAGCCTAAGTTGAGTATATGGCGTGGCGAGGCTCCACAAAATAGCAACTTTATGCTTTTGAGGCAGCCCAAAGTTGTCCTGAAAAATCCCTAAACTTCTTCAATATTTCGCTCGCCAGGAATTAATCAGTTCTGAACGAGTGTCCTGAGCTCTGATGTTTACTCGCGCCGCTTTAAAATGCATGAATTTGCGCTACTCAAGTAATCATTACTTAATAATAATAATTAAAGCCTGGATTCAAACGCATTCTGAGCGATTCAGATTGACAAGAAATTGATCATACGGGTTTGCTCAGAAAAAGTTTTCGCATAAGTTGTAATAAAGTATGATATACGACGTATAAAATCGTGAATCCGAATCCGTTCCATAGATAAGAAATATATTCTCCGTGTTATACAATGAATACATGAAGTTTATTAATCTATATAGATAGATTTATAGATAATAATCTATATATTATCTATAAATCTATATATCTTATCTATAGATGGTTTAATCTATATTCTCTGAATAATTTGTGTGACTAATCGTCACAGAAATTAATGTCAGAACAAACTCATACTGTGAGGAAAGTTTTCCAAAATTAATGAATAATTCAGAATTAATTTGACCACTTCTGAAACATAATCATTTGGAACACTTTTGATGTCCTCAAATGAAAGGCATTTTCGTGTTTCTTCTCTGGGATTTTTAGCGCATTTTCTCATCTATGGAAAAAGAGGCGCTATTGTGCTCGTCATGTCCGTCCGTCCATCTGTCTGGATGTCTGTCCGTCCGTGACTTCTCACGTTTTCGTCGACGAGAAAATGCGCTCTCCGTTACTCACTGCAGTGAGTACTGAGCTATATTTTTTCGTCAAACACTTAATATAACCTCACATTTTCACAGGGTTCAACGTACACGAAAGATTTTTAGCTTCTTTTCTAGGAAATTTTTCGCAAAAAGCAAATATCTTTCTGGTGATAATTTAAACCGTTTTTCATTTATTTTCAGTACAACTCCTTCCCTAATGGCATTGCTGGGCATATTTTATGACTGCCCTTACATACGTCTTATAATTACAGAATTTTCAAATCGCAAACTGTGATCCATATAAGCGAACTGAAAAATATTAGAGATTCCGTTCTGATATATCATTTGTATTCCTAATTTATAGCTTTTTAGATGTTAAACACTCATACTTTATTCCAACTTAAAAATAAATTTTGTCTGCTTCTCGGAGTTTGTGCATTAATGATCAGTCAAACTGAATTTATTCGTATGTTAAGCGCGTAGAAATTACGAGTTCCGGAATGACGTACGTAGCGCTTGGCTGTTTGGCAAACATGATTCCTGGATAAATAAGATAAACTTTCACATCGTCGCGGCAGTGACGCTAGAATGGCGGTTCTCCGACTCGAATGTAAGTAATGAGGCAGTCATTTAAGTCTCTTTCCTCATGCGGCTCAATTAACTATGTCACAGTAAGCATTTTTTACTAATATTTAGACATAAATAATGTACAACTAAATTAAAAAACTCTTCAGTCCAGTTACCCTATCCACTCTAAAAATTAGCTCTGTGGTGTGGCGTTAGTAAAATGAAAGTGACTTGACGCAAGGCGAAGCATACAAGAACAGCATTAACTGCAGTACTGCTTGCTGCAGCATTACACACGTAGCTTTGAAGCCTCCTCTTTGCAGCAGCATTGATGTATTGAATTACAAAGCAATTAACGATAAATTTATTCGGGCTATCGCTATGGATATTTGTATTTTTAGCGCATTTTCTAATTTATGGAAAAAAATACTCTATTGTACTCGTCATGTCCGTCCGTCCGTGATTTCACGTCACGGACGGACGAGACAATGCGCTCTCGGTCACTTACTGCAGTGAGTACTGATCGAATTTTTTCAGGTTTAAGCGAGGGCAGTCCTGCTAAACTGTTCACTGCAGTATGACCGCAGCACAGAACACGTTTAGTAGCACAGCGCAGCTCTGCAGAAGAAGCATTAGCACAGCAGCACCGCAGCACAACAGCAGCACCGCAGCACAGCAGCAGCACCGCAGCACAGCAGCAGCACCGCAGTACCGCAACAGCACGGCTGCATGTCAGCACACTAAATTGCAGCACCCTTCACTAAACGACCAAATTCTTACAAAAAGCAAGCATAAAAAAGAAAGCGTTACCTCTCCGACACGAACTGCATGAGACATTCACGCGGCAGCGGCGCAATGAATAAAACATGGATAAAACAACGAATATAAATAAATAGGACGGGGATAAAATAAACTGATGAAACAGCCACAGAATTCAAAGTCAACAAAGAAGAAACAGACAAGCATATGAAATAACTTAAATAATTTTAAGTTTGAACGAAAAGAATTCATACGTGTTGAATGAAAGCCATTTTGAGTATAAGCGATAAAAATTAAAATAGTATCTAAAATATTCTGCCACCATTTAACCCGTGTACTGGGAATCTCCTTTCATATTTCCTGTAATTACTCGGCTAAATGGCTACACAATTGTGTAAATAACAAGCTTAATATTATGCATGTGAGCCTAATGCAATTTTCTCCCTTTTTAAATCCCCAAAATGACGCTAGTTCCTTCAAAGATAATGCTAAATGGTCATCAACTGGTGTGAGAACCTGTATAAAATAGAGGATGCAAGTCCAGAGCTGTTTTCTTTTCTCCAAGTTTATTCTCACATCAAAATATGTGAAGACGTCAAGTTTGCATATAGAACGCGTGTCAAGGAATTGCCAAGCCGGTCAAGTTTTTGCGATTGTGTTTCAACAATCGACAATCACGGTGACGGAAGAGAGTTAGTTCAGTGAAGCGGCCATATGAAAAGTCTTGAGAGTTTACGTCGAAATTTCTTTGACTTTTCGATCCTGTAAACTTGTTGCTCTCTGCTGTCAAAGGATCCACTTTTGGTATTCAGCTGTATATTGTTGTGGTTTAATTTTGTTCTGTACGAGGCTTTAAATTGTAGTAAAAACCTTACAGAAAGTATGACACATTTTTAAACCTGGTGGATTATTTGTTATATCTGATTTTTAAACCAATTTATTAAAATTATCAAGTTTTGTCTCATAATTCAGTTCTTGCGTGATAAATCTTGCCGGTCTTGTACAAAAATAATTGACTTACAGGATATTTAATTCATCACCAAACCACGAGCAGTTCAATAGGTGAATTTCATTAAGCGTGCATGGAACCAAAAAATAAAAAGAAATACTATAATATCCGGCAAAATTTCAGCCACTAATGAATCGAACCAAAATACATATTTTTTCCTCCAACTCTTCTTCTCAGCGCCCATGAGGTCTCGACAAGACATGATTGATCTCGAGTAAATGCGCAGTTTCGTGCACAGAAAGACCATATCTTTGAGCACGCACGTTGTTTGGCAAGTTTCATAAAAGCCTTAATCTTTCTAGGAGCGTTTGAGGTAGGATCGAGCGATATAACGAGGCCTTGTGGTGGCCACGAAAAATTTGCATCCATATTGGCCGGTGCGACCATCTTGCCTCCTATGAACTGAAGCTGCCGGCGACCTCGGAGTGGTTAGTGAACGATGGTGGAGGGAACTGGTGAACGATGGTGGAGGGAACTAGTGAACGATGGTGGAGGGAACTAGTGAACGATGGTGGAGGGAACTAGTGAACGATGGTGGTGGGAACTAATGAACGATGGTGGAGGAACTAGTGAACGATGGTGGAGGGAACTAGTGAACGATGGTGGAGGGAACTGGTGAACGATGGTGGAGGAACTAGTAAACGATGGTGGAGGGAACTAGTGAATGATGGTGGAGGAACTAGTGAATGTTTTGTGGAGGGAACTAGTGAGCCCATTGCTGGGGGATTTATGTATTTGCATATAGCAATAGCAGCTACAGAATTTTTAGTATGTGTAAAAGTCCAGGAATTGTGTGTGTACGTTGTTCTAAATTTTTATTAATTTTGCTCCTGTCTACACATATATTAACTACAATATTAAAATTTGACATAATATGGCGTTCCGATTAAACTTAATAATAATCAATTTCCAGCGAAATAACTTTACGCGCAGAAAGTAATACAAAAAATTGAGATGATGCATTTTTTGCTCCAGTTTGCCTCCAGTCTCTTACACTTGTAAGTCGCCAGACTGCCGGCGATTTTCATTTGTTTCGTGTTTTTCCATGCGAGAAAAAAAGAGGAGCAAGTGTGAACAAGGAGAATTCGTAGCTCTGGACAGGACGAAATTATGCAAGGCAGTGTCATTTGAGGGCCGCCATATTTTATTCATTTCCCAGAGGCGGGAAAAAATTATTCAAAAGAACATCGTTGCATTGACATTTTTTTAGACTTGGTCGCGTCTGGGAAGATGAGAGCGTCGCGTGAACGTCGACCCCCGAGTTCATGAATTGGAATTATGTTGCTGAGGAATGGTGCATTCCGTGTGCTGCTCTGGAATTCTGTGTTCCGTGTGCTGCTCTGGAATTCTGGGTTCCGTATGCTGCTCTGGAATTCTGTGTTCCGTATGCTGCTCTGGAATTCTGTGTTCCGTATGCTGCTCTGGAATTCTGTGTTCCGTGTGCTGCTCTGGAATTCTGTGTTCCGTATGCTGCTCTGGAATTCTGTGTTCCGTATGCTGCTCTGGAATTCTGTGTTCCGTATGCTGCTCTGGAATTCTGTGTTCCGTATGCTGCTCTGGAATTCTGTGTTCCGTATGCTGCTCTGGAATTCTGTGTTCCGTATGCTGCTCTGGAATTCTGTGTTCCGTATGCTGCTCTGGAATTCTGTGTTCCGTATGCTGCTCTGGAATTCTGTGTTCCGTATGCTGCTCTGGAATTCTGTGTTCCGTATGCTGCTCTGGAATTCTGTGTTCCGTATGCTGCTCTGGAATTCTGTGTTCCGTATGCTGCTNATGGACTGGCCGTTCGCAATATATGACTAAAAATTTACATATAATTGAATAAAACGGGTAAATAAATCCAACGTCATGCTGCTAGTTTAATGGACAAACATTCAGCCACAAACACAGATGTTATTAAATGATGTTGAACTGTAAATCGTAAATAGTGAAGGTCATGAATAACTGTTTAAAATTCTTTCAAAGAAGTTTGTTCACGTATATTTATTATTTCAGTTTCCCCTGTTCCTCTGCAATTTTTCAGAACTGCTTATTTTGGTATCATAGGCCAAAATTACAAAAGTTTAGCACGATTGTAGCACAATTAAATATGACTAAATTCCAATCTAACACAAAAATAGTTCTGAAGGAATAATTTGACGTATATTAGCCAAGACGTAAGCTCTGATTATTTTTAGGCATGTTTCAGTCAGTGATTATTAAAAAAACTATAAATGAATTATATTAATTTGTACGCTGTTTAATAACGTTCCGAATCAGTAATTCACCATGATATGAATGGAGCCTAAATGCTAATTTCAGAAGTCGGCGCAGGTTAATCGTGTTGAAGCAAAATAACTGATTTTACAGTTCATACATTAATGTACTTCATTTACCTGTAATTTTCAATGAATCTATAAGTTCAAATTAATTGTAGAGTCAAAATAAGTGCCAGAAGAATCACACACATGGACATTGTTTGCTGCAACCAAGTCTACAAGTATCGGCTCATAATGTCATGTAGCTGACGCAAACAAGTCTACATGTATCGGCTCATAATGTCATGTAGCTGACGCAAACAAGTCTACATGTATCGGCTCATGATGTCATGTAGCTGACGCAAACAAGTCTACAAGTATCGGCTCATGATGTCATGTAGCTGACGCAAACAAGTCTACATGTATCGGCTCATGATGTCATGTAGCTGACGCAAACAAGTCTACATGTATCGGCTCATGATGTCATGTAGCTGACGCAAACAAGTCTACATGTATCGGCTCATGATGTCATGTAGCTGACGCAAACAAGTCTACATGTATCGGCTCATGATGTCATGTAGCTGACGCAAACAAGTCTACAAGTATCGGCTCATGATGTCATGTAGCTGACGCAAACAAGTCTACATGTATCGGCTCATGATGTCATGTAGCTGATGCAAACAAGTCTACAAGTATCGGCTCATAATGTCATGTAGCTGATGCAAACAAGTCTACAAGTATCGGCTCATGATGCTATGTAGCTGATGCCAACAAGTCTACAAGTATCGGCTCATGATGCTATGTAGCTGATGCACACGAGTCTACAAGTATTGGCTCATGATGTCATGTAGCTGATGCCAAAAAGTCTACAAGTATCGGCTCATGCTGATGCAAACAAGTCTACAAGTATCGGCTCATGATGTCATGCAGCTGATGCCAACAAGTCTACAAGTATCGGCTCATGATGTCATGCAGCTGATGCCAACAAGTCTACAAGTATCGGCTCATGATGCCAGCCATCCAGTCCAGGTAGTTGTTCACTTTAGCATAGACGCCCATCTTGCCGGCCACGCCGCAGCCGTCGCCGAACGAAGTGACGCCGTAAGCGGTCCAGGTCTCTTCCCCGGGCTTGTCTCCGTAGGCGCACAGCAGAGGGCCCCCGGAGTCTCCTGATGACAATAAGTGGCAGGATATTTAGATAATATTAATATGAATAAATATGGTTATGACCAGAACATGCCAGAATCCGACAACAACAAAAAAAAACATGGCAGGATCGAATGATTACAAAGATACATCAGAATACTCTGATAACATTTAAATGTCTGGAAATCCTGATAACAATAACATGTCAGAATCCCTCATAACAATAAAATGTCAGGAAAGTTTGATAACATTCACACAGCAGTGAAATTTCAGTGTTATGTAATTTAAAATACTAAGAAAATGTGGATTGTTTGTGACGGAAAAGGAAAAGTCCACGGACAGTAAAACCAGCATTCAACTATCTAAGATATGTTGATTTACCGTATAAAATTTTTGCCATGACTTCTTCAATTGCACTTACTGTGGTTATAATACATTAGAGTCATGAATCTATTCAAATTTAAAAACTGCTCATTACATGAATATTGGGCATCGATTCTACAAATTAATACACATGCTGTTGGTGCAGGTCGACGACTAGTTATGATTGTTCAATGTTAGCCAATAATAAGTTAATAAATTTTCGTATTAATAATTTTCCTTTGATATGTATTTGTCTGTTTATTGTATTATATTTGTTTGTCTGTCTATTGTAAATATACAAATTATTATTAAAGATGTAAATATAAGACTGACCTGAGCAGGTATCAGAGCCTCCCTTGTAGTGGCCGGCGCAGAACATGTTCTCCGTGATGGTCTTGCGGTTAGCTCGCTGACACGCCTTGCGAGAGATGATAGGGAGCTGCACGAGGTAGGTAGGTAGATTTATGTGGTAGATGAAATTATAACGTAGCTAGGTAATTACTTTGAATATACCAATATCCATAAATCTTGTAATTATGATAAAAAACCAATAATTATTTATTTTCGTAATAATTCTTCGACATATTACTTTAAAATTTAAAATTTAATTGTTATTAAATTATTATTTTCATAATAAAAATAACGCTATATTATTGTTATTGTGAAAAATCGAATGGCATTGAATTTGAGAGATAAATTATTGGCAGTTGACACGCAACAGGAAAAATACACTATACATTATTGGGGAAAAAATTAAATGTGTGCAATATGAAAGATACATTGTTGGTAGCTGGCACAAAATCGGTGGGATTAAATCATAATTTTTTTAAAAGATCAAATGATGAATAATTCTTAAAAAACATGCAGGAAAGTTGGAAAATTGTTTCAAATATCGGACATTTAACTTCAATGATAATGGCACTTGCCGGATTTTAAGTAAGAAAAATAGAATTTGCGGCGAATTTATACATTTAAATGAAGATTTTCATGCAAATATATAAACTAAAAAGTTTATTATCACATTCACCATTAAACTCACCCTCGTGTACATAAGAATGTCACTCCCAAAAGAGTGGGAAACTGACTCTTTTCCCCAGCCCATGACCATACACCGTGTGCCCACGGGGGGAAAATCTGTCCCATTAGCGGGGAGACAGGCCCGTGACGTGATGCCTGGGGAAGCTCTGCCAGATTCCCCGTCAGGAATTGGGGGGAGCGCGGGCAACCTCAGCAGCGCGATGTCGTTGTCGATGCTCGACGAGTTGTACTCTGGGTGTCGGAAAATGCGACGCACCTGCAGAATTATAATATAATATAATATTTATTATAATATATAGAATTTTTTACGATAATTAGATAGTTTGTACAGTCGTCAATGGGATTATTCTGCTGAATCAGTAATTGTTAATTAGTACGGGCGCATTTACATTTTATTGAGAAGTGGGATTATTGTTTAATGTGAGATTATTTGAGCGTCCACTAAGTTATGGTTTTTAGTGAATACTATCGTTGATTTCTACAGGCGTTATTGAAATTATAGTGAAAATTGAAGAATATCGTCAATTTATTTGGTCACTATTTCAGTCATAGTGACGACTTAAAAATATCGTTTATTTGTACAAACATAGTGAGTGGACTAGTAAATTTCGGACTCGTACGCTGTTAGAAAATTCACCGTTAACCGGCATTACCAGCGTTTCAGTAACCGGCCGGCACATGAAAATAAACACCGTGTAGCCATTTTTATTCCAATTTTACACAAGAAACCCGTTAAGCATCTAAAAGAAACGGCAAACGGTCTATTTTCGCGGGGCGGCTGATTTCTCGAACGCCGGATAGACCGTTTTTTACAGTTTATTCGAACAGTGTAACCTTTCTGCACACACATACAACTTATATAATAAAATGGCTCTCTAGTCAATTGTTCTGAAGTTAAATAAAAATATCTCATGCCCTTCATCTTACCTTCATCTCGACCTCGTAGCCATCCTTGCTTCTAATATGATGCTCGGACAGCCTCACGTGTAGCTTCTTCCTGACGCAGTGAGCTGCCGTCATCACCCAGCGGGGGGCGATCAGGGTCCCACCGCATAACAGGTCCTGGGAAATTATATTCATAATGAATTATTAAATTATAAACTACGAGAATATTGACAATTTTATGTGTTTCAACCGGTAACATGTGAATTCCCGTATTACAGGTCCAGAAAATAATTCTTCCTTATGAATTTTCAAAAAAATAAAAACAGAAAAGTTGGCAATTGTATGTGTTCGAACCTGCGTTTGCGTACTTCTGTACAAATGGTTCTGAAAATAAATATTCCTTATGATTTTTTAAATATTTAAAAGAGAAATTTTGGTATTTTTGAAGGCATTAAGGAATGATGAAATGATAGGAAAAGAGGGGCGATGTGGAAATACGAAGGGCATGGATCAATGATAAAGGATGGAGATGAAAAAAGAGTGTGGAAGCATGGAAGAGTATTGGGGTGATGTGTGAGTGTTTGAGCATGCATGGGGAAGTGAAAGGGATGTAGGAGCGTGGAGGCTTGGAAAAGTCAAACGGTGATATAAGAATTTGGGAGCGTGGAGGCATGGAGAAGTGATGGGGAGATGTGGGAGCATGGGGAAGAAATGGGGTGATGTGGGAGTGTGGGGTGATGTAGGAGCTGTCTCTTATACACATCTAGATGTGTATAAGAGACANATGGGGAAGAAATGGGGTGATGTGGGAGTGTGGGGTGATGTGGGAGTGTGGGAGCGGCGTCATTAAGAGAGTAAGACTAGCCCCGTAGGGAGCTGGCGCAGTGAACCGCGGCTAACGGGGGCTGACGCCCCGGGTCTGGGGAGCAGGAGGGGGGATGAGGTTTGCCATGGGGATGAGGGGGAAGTGTAGTGTGAGAGGAAAATCGTACATTGTTATCATGAGTGTCATCCCCAAGGAGGAAAGGGTGTTCAATGTCGGAGGGTTAGTAGGGGTAGAAAGGATAAAAAACTCCACAAATAGGAGTTAATAACTTGAAGACCTTTGTTTGCTTTGTAATTTTGAAAAATGAAATAATTAACAAACGAATTTATTTTGAATGTTGCTAAAATGAACATATTTAAATGAAGAAAACGAAAGCTGTGTCCACAAAAACAAACCGGCCTGGACTTCAGTATAACGGTAACACCGACAAGGAATGCAAAGACTGTCTTTATAAAGGAAGAACAGTCCAAGAGATCAGAACAACGGTTGCACCGACAAGGAAAACGAAGACTGTATTTATAGAGGAAGAACAGTCCAAGAGATCAGAACAACGGTTGCGAAGACGGTGAGCTCGAAATTGATTGAGATTGTCTAGGGACCGCAGCAGAGTTGGATGTTTATTTAGAGACTTGGAAAAGAAACTCGAAAATGTACAGTGTAGGCGTTACACCTCATTTTTGGCAGACATGTTTTTTCGGGGGTTAACAATTATTTCATTGCAAAAGCATTTCATTCTGGCATGAAAAACTGCGACCGGCAATTCAAATTACGGAGTACGCGTTGCATTAAAATTTAATATATATTGGGATTTTTTAAAAGCGTTCACCAAGTGCATTTACAAGTGAAATAATGGATTAAACTTTTGAAAGAAAAAGTCAAATTTGGGACGCAGTTTTACTCATCAATATAATAATCATGAAAGACATTACAGCTTTTGAAGTTTCCTTTAATGATCCAAGGTAACATACCGAAATGCATTCTTAGCAACATTCGCAGTTAAATTCATGCAAATTCTCAACTGAATAATACGACACGTCATCACAAAGAGATAAGATTTATATAAGTTTTAGTTATGGTGACGAGTGAATATTATTGATATTTGGATCGGCGTTATAAAATATGAGAAGAGGAAGACGATGGCTGTTGATTTGAACCTAACAATTTCAATATACTCTGGAGTTTCAACCTTAAATTATTGTAGTTGGACATGCGTATGCTTGAAAATGCTATCGAATACCGGATCACCGTAATAGATTCTGATCGCATCTCGAGTTCGTGGAAGTCGAAGCGTATCGGCAAATAAAGTGTCTCTCTTACTCTGATATGCAGAATAGATGGCAGCGCCCTCTGTTGCCAGGTGGTAGACTTGGACAGGAAATGGGGGGCTATTTGGTGAGCGGAAAACAGGGACGTTGGTAGATACGAGAACAATTTGGGAAATGCTTGCGAGTGCGCGCGGCATTTCACAAGCCGTAACAGAATTTACATATGATAATTATGGAAAAGGGCGAGTGCGTTGAAGGTGAAGGGTTCTCAGAGAGTGCGTCTTACAGAATTTAGTGTCTGGGAAATACATTAATTTATTTTAAATTTAGAAGAAAGAAAAGATGCTCTTTTTGGAGACTACAAATAAATTCGATTAGGAATATAACACTACTCATCAAAATAACAAAGAATAGGAAAGTGCATCATGAAATCACCATAGTCGCCAACCCGTAGTACAGTTATAAAAATATATTTTCACGTGGAAAAGCAAGGTATTTGTGCTGCCATTGCCCGTGATGGCATACTCATAATTCGGGGACGTTCCATCTAATAGGACTGTAAAAGAGTAACAATATCGTCTGGGCCAGCGTCCAGAATACAATAGCGGCCAATAATACGAGTGCTGTATAATAATAGTTGACGATAACTCGAGGTCCAATAATAAGACAGCGTCGACGCAGCTATCAATAGCAGCTGCAAACAAGGAAATATCTGCGCTGAGGCCCCGGGGGAAAGTTTTAAGCTTTGAAGACACTTCCGAGCTGCAGGATTGCCAAGTGCCAGAGAGGCGGAGTAGCAGCCCCACCTGCGCTGGTCCCAGAGCAACGGCAAGAAATGAACCGAGGAAACTATGTTCAAAATAACTAGAGAATAAACTTTTATTGCTCCTTGAACTGTAGTAAAGGAAGATGAAAGAATCAATATATGTTGTACCAGTAGAAAAGAAAATAATCACAGAGTTCACTGAAAAAGTGAACGAAGAAACTTATGACTGTAAAAAAATCTGGCCTATGACAACCGGAGGATAGATTTTTAGTGCTTTGTAAGAGAAATATAACAATAAATAAATGAGTTAACGAAACAAGTGAAAAAATAAAGGTACTCCTAAAATTTGACGGGATGTGCAAAGAATGCAACTTATAAAGTTATTATTAAGTTTGTTCTAAACTTGAGTCTCTTTAAGAGTTATTTTCTGTTTGCTCAATAAAACTTTTACTGAGAATAATCTTCCTCTTAGCTATATGCATAAATTTTGCATAAATTAACAAGTGAGTAGAATGAGAAAATATCATATACGAAAAGTCAGGAAAGGAAATCGGTGTTGAATAAGGCGGAACAGTAATAAATGCTCGTAGTTTAGAGAAAAATAGTTTATAGCAATTTAAAAATCTTAAACATTAATTAGAATTTACACGGGATTTTGAAAAAAAAATTATAAAATCGCGTGCAGTTTTTCATGATCCGTGAATATTTATCGTCGAACGAGCAAAATAGCATATGAATTAAGTTAAATAACATATAAATTATTAATATCAAAGTTTTATACTATAAGTTTCAATAACTGAGGCTGTGGCCTGCCTATATGATTAAAAATTTAATAAAAAGAAGAAAACCCAGAAACATCGACTGATTAAAGGTTTGTTTTCAAGTAATATTGCCGCGCGTGGTCAAAGCGAAAATTATAAGATATCGATGAAATTTTTACGAATCTGGAGCATTCGTCACTTTATTCTATAAAATCTAACTTTATGACGTTACAAACATTTACAACAATTTCATCATACTACTTTTACAACAGTTGTTCGGGTATTTTCAATTTACCGATGTAAAAACGAACTTCGAATTTCAAATGCAAAGTTGTGAAATCCAACACCTCATTTTAACTTTTCTGACCAAAAGATTTTGTCATATTTCAAATGCAAATTTATGAAATCCAAAACCTCATATTAACTTTTCTGACCAAAAGATTTTGTCACATTTCAAATGCAAATTTGTGAAATCCAAAACCTCATATTAACTTTTCTGACCAAAAGAATTTGTCACATTTTTTTACGAGGCGCGTGCAGTGTTGCTCATGGTGTCTATATTTGGCCGGGTTGCTACCAATCCTCTATCACCGAAACAAGAGTGCGCCCGACCTCATCCTCTATAGTCTTCTTTTAGAGCTTTTGATCCTTTTTGGTGATGGGATACGCAGGTCTTCGATGTCTCAGTAATGTGCTTAGCTTTAAATGGAGCCCAGCCTTGTAGCAGAAATGTGGAACATGAAAATTTTCAAGACAAAACAAAATGTTATGAAATTTCAACCGCAAACTAAAGGGGGAAAAAGTTTTCTCGAGACAAGGATATTTTTAGATTTATTTGATGTGAATTTTTTTTCCTGAAATATCTGGACATAAATCGGAGCCGTTTCAGTAAATTTCATTTTATTTGGCATACAAAAAAAAAAAAACAGAAATGCGATATTATCTTAATAACAAGAATTTTTAAACGCAAATAATCATACAAAATGAAAATATGCTTGCTCATTTTATTAGAAATTTTGTATATTAAATTCTTGCATCCATGTGCGAAACTGAAATTGTTTAAATATTTAACTTTAATACTCCACGTTTTTACTGAAAGAAAGTAATAGCTTATTGGCACACTCGCTATATTTCAAAAGAGTAAGAAGAGAAATTCGACGGTTGCGTCTTCGTGTCTAATGCCAATTTCTGTATTGAATTCTATCGTCTTTATTTTCTTTGCACTACTAATTTTTTTGAATATTTCCCAATTAGTTAAATTCACTGATTTAAATTCTAGTATTATCCATTTATAATCGATAGTCATTAATAATAATGTAAATGACTAATCTGGGCCAATTTTGTTTATTAATATCATTGATTATCAATCAGATTTATTTAGGTTAGAATACATCTTGATTTGATCAATCACTTAAAGTAATTCGTTAGTAAAATTTCGTTTTATTCGTTTATAAAATTGTCCCATATCATGGTAAAAATCATTTTATATTCGTACATAAGCAAAGCATTTATTCATTTCGTGGATTTAGGCTCGTAAATTGTTCGAAAGATTTACCATG